ATCTATAACATTAAGTCTACAAGGATCTGCTAACAAATATGAAATTGTCTACATTCTACCTTTTTGGCATCATAACTTAAAAGCATTAATCATCATCTTTATTGACACCTTGATCAATTACTCTGAGCCCTTGCTCTTATTCACTGGCATAAAAGAGTACCTGACTGACCTCTCTGCTGGTCTCTTTCTCTTGAACCAGGCATGGCTGGCAGGAAATTTGCAGTCTTTGGGAGACTGTAAGGTGTTGATCCACAACAATGAAGAAGCCTTGGGTTGTCCCACCAACCAACCTGACAGTCCACTGTGCTGACTTCAAAGCTTCACAGAAATTCCCCATCCCTGTTCCCATGCTATAAAAGATCAGGCCTGCCTGCACACTCACTAGCCTTTGATGCTCAACCTCTGCCTAGGCAGTTACCCCACCACCCCTAATACTAGCCCTTAACACAACTGTAAGCACTGAGCTGCAGGACATGAGGGAGTCCAGCCACTTACACCAGGACCAAGGTACTCAAAAGTTAGTGAGCCTCAGACTCACCTGGAACTTGTGGAAACACACCCTTGTCTCCCACCTCTCGCAGGACCAGCTGAGATTCTGGGCCTTCTATGCAACTCTGGTGAACAAGCAAGAGAAGGAAGAGGAGAGCAAGCATGAGAGAAGGAAGAAAGTGGGGGTAGAGAAGGGGAAGGCAAATGCAGTAAAGAGCAGGAAAGGTCAACTGTCCATAGCTAGAACAGACATAGGACATCTGCTTAGCTGACCATACTCTGAGTAACTGTGGCCCAGGCCCAGCTCTGACTGACATCTTCAGTGTAAGGATAGTTATAGCAAACCTTCACCAGCATACATCTGCCATGAGCTCCTTCTTTCTGGCAAATTCTGGCACATAACCCTCCCGAACCATTTCTGAATAGATTCATGAAAATATTCCTCAACACACCCAATACTGTGTTGTTAACATGTATTAATACTGTGATACATGTTACTGTAGGGCAGTAACATGTCGCTTAACACATCTTGAGAAATGTAGCATCAGACAACTTCATCATGCAAATGTCATAGAGTATACTTATACCAACTAAGATGGCTATGACATCACAAGGCAGGATAATCTTATGGGGCCACAGTCATGACTCCTCATGTGCAGCCTGTGGTTATGCAACTCATGACTGTAGTCACTCCTTAAGTAGTCTCTTCAGTGCTACATTTTCCTAACACATGACCTCAATACTTCTACCTACTAAATAAACTTTGAATTATTTTTAAATAACCCCAGCTATTTTAAAAAAAAAAAAAAAAAAAAAAAAAACAAGGAAAAGGGGA